ACTCTGAGCTCTGTGATCCACGACCTCCGACACTAAACTCTCCTCCTCTTGCATGTTTCCGCTGTCCATAGCGTTCCTTGACAGCGTCGTTTCTAAGTCACCAATTTAGTGCTACTTGGTCCCAATGGAATTTCCCATTGGGAACCTGCTAGCACTAAGATGCTAACTGGTTAGCAAGATGCTTCCGACAAACCGGCCACAACCAAACTTGCTCGCAAACCTTCCACCAGAACAATCCCGCCCCCTTGATAATCGACCAATCACATTCACTTTATTCACTCGTGTAAAGTCGGGCACCACTGGGAGAATTTGCAAATGCAACGGTTGGAACAGCCGCTTCCCTACGACTTTAAGCTAATTTAGTTTCAGAGGAGTGATCATAGCGCTCTGCATCAGCAGTGCTGCGTCTGACTCCCTGCCAGCTCCCAGATCAGCTTCTCTGATTGGTTGATGCAGCAAAAATAAAAGCGTGTCACGCATCTCAGATGCTCGCAACGCCGCAGGACCTTTTGTCTACGTTCACACTGCAGCCCAAAGTGACCCAAAGCCAATTTTTTTGCCCAAATGCGACCTGGATCTGATCTTTTCACGACAGTCTGAACAACTCAGATCCAATTTTTTTCCAATGCGACCCAGGCCACTTGGCTCTGTGGTCCTGAATCTGGTACGAATCTAATCTTTTAAATCCACCCTGAACACCATTAATACTCGACATAGGTCACTATTTTATGTCTTACTACGCAGAAGCGGCAAAAAAAAAAAAAACATGGCGGGCGATGATACGGAGAGCAGTATTTATATTTAAAAGATTGTTTTTTTTTAAGGTTGGGAAAGATCGCTAGATTCGCTCCAGCGCTACCATCCATGTTTACTTCCGTAAACACAGAGCACGCTAGCTTGTGACGTCATTGCGTCCTCTACTACACATGCGGGACACTTGCGTTGTACTAATGCAGTTCAAACAGAAGATCAGATACAAGTTGCATATATTTGGAAATGTGAACGGCAACGCAAAAACAAACAAAAAAAAGTTTTTCACAGCGCATCAACCAGACTATGCATGTAAACCAGCTGCCTCTGCTGCCCAAAGCGCGTTTGGTGTGAACGTAGCATTAAAGTCTCCTTCAGGACAGTTCTGATGATCCAATTCAGATTAACTTATGCAATATTGTCAAACTTATGCAAAGGTCTTCTTCTGGTTTTACAGAACCATAGGAAGAATGCATAGTGTTCCAGAACTTCGATTTAAAACTCCTAAAACCTGACGATTGATCAAAATTACTCTCCTCAGAGGAACATAGGGGAAAAAAAATGGCTTTGTGTGTGCAGCAGAACGAGGCCCGTTAGACCCAATCCTCCTGGTACAGCAGGTTCTGGAGAGAAGTAGAGGTGAACCCATCGGACTGATCCCTGCTCTGTTCTTGTCTTTTGGTTCTGCAGGTCAGAGCGACGCAGAGAACCGAAGAAGTGAGTGAACCCTCCTGGTTGGTGAGAGCATCTCATCAGAACCGCCTGTTTGGATCAGAGGGCGTTAGCTGGTGTCATGTTGGACCTCAGCTGTAAAACTCTGATCTGTAGAATCACAGAAAGGGCCGTTATCGATCCAGAACGGCCTCCAGAACGTCTGTCTGTTGTTTGTGTAAATATGAGAGGATCTTTTTTAAGGAGGGGGGAATCGGACCGCACATCGACTACAGCCTGATCAAAATAACGTAGAACAACCAGAACCTCTTTAGGCGCAGCTGATCCAAACCAAGGGGTTTGGGTTTCTACAGATCAGTGGAGATCTTGGGGGATTTCTAGGTTCTGTTTGAAGTTATCCCTGTTCAGGGAAACCACAAAACTGCCCTGGTTCTGCAGGACCAGGCTGTAAAAATGTCCTTCACCTCATGCTGGATCCATCTGAGGGAAGAACCGATGCATCGGTGCTTTCAGCTCCTTTTACTATGGAGCAAAATTTGGGCCATAAAGTTGGTTCACAAACATCTCTTGTTTAAACTTAAAGGCAAAAAGTTCTAGAAAAACCTAAAAAAATATATCTAAATCTGGAAAAGATTTTTTTTTAAAGTGAACCAACAACATTTGGAAACAAGAAAAAAATGTATTGAAACTGGGAAACCTTTTTGTCTTTTTTTCCTCAAAGATATGAACACAAATTATTTATTATCTTTTAAAGACCTTTCTATATCCTGAACAATTTTTTTTTTCAATTTAAATCTTTTTGTGCAGGTTTTTATTTTAAAGAATTTGTTTTCAGTTTTTTCACCAAAAAAAAAAAAGTTTAACAAAATTTTTGGACCCAATTTCACTCCATAAATTTCTATTGTCAATGTTTTGTTTTAGTAGAGATGTTTATTTTCTGTTAATTAATCTGTTAACATTGTGAAAATTTGATCAGCAGAACCTCAACATACGGATTCCTTCCTCTTACAGTCGGACAGAATATCAGACCTGAAGCTTTAAACTGTCTCTGTGTTAGAACTAGAACTATAGATTGGGTCTAATGGGCTTTGCTGCATTCTGTAGGTCTAGGTCCAGCTTTAGCAGAACTGTATGGGTAGTGAACAGCAGTGGGCGTGTCTCTCTGCACGTTGAGCTCTAATTGAACAGAAAATTGCAACAGGCCTACTCTAGACTTGAGACTTGACTTGGACTTGCAAAAAATGACTTGTGAACATGTCTGCCGGAGCGCGTCTAGCAATCATTTCCATCCTTTTCAATATAAACATTGCTCTCCGCATCATCATCCGCCATGGTTGTTTTTTCTTGCCGCTTCTGCGTAGCAAGACGCAGAATAGTGACCTTTGTCTGTTATTAATGGCGTTCAGGTTGGATGAATGCGACCTGGGTCACCTATGGTCACTTCAGGCCACTGTGTGAACGTAGCCTTAGACATGGAGGTTGATACCGAACCGGATCTTCTTGTCACCAAAGTCTGTTTTAAAGGACCTTCCTTTAGTTTGGTTAAAGTAGAAGAACCTTGAGAGTCTGAGGTAGAAATGAAGGAGGAACATGTTCCACTGGAATGGTTGCTTCTCCTCCAGGTTTCTGATGAGATGCAGCCACAAACCGATCATCACGGTTCTCTGAAAACTGGACGTTCTTCATGTTCTCCTGTTGTTTGTCTGCAGTGTTCCCCTATCCGGTTCCTCCGATCGAAGAGAACGTCCTGGATGAGGACAAACTGCTCAAACCCTGGGACCTTAAGAAGGTTCGCTGAAGTTCAAGCATTTCCCGAAACTTTTCCGTGAACCTAAATCATCAGAGGAAGCAGCTGAAGGAAGCATCTTCTACTCTGAGCCTTTTCTGTTAACTCCTCAGAACTGGACCGGCCCAGTTCTGAGGAGTTAACGCTGCTGAAATGTAGATGATGTCCTCCGCTCTGCTGAGGGAACCTGGAGGTTTGCTGAACTGAAATTCTCTGTTTTCTGCTCCAGCTTTCGTCTTCGGCATCTCGACCCAAGTCCTGCGAGGTTCCAGGCATCAAGTAGGTCCAGCCGCACATAACCGCTCAACTGTTGGAGCAGAACGCCTTCTGGTCTGTCAGCTGACTGTGCTCCATTTCCTCCTAGTATCTTTTCGTCCCCGGAGCAGCCGTCCACGCCGGTCCAAGGCGTCCCTCAGATTCCCAGCACCGGCGGCTCGCTCCCCGACCTGTCCAGCCTCCACTTCCCCTCACCGCTTCCCACGCCGCTGGACCAGGATGAGCCCAGTTACCCAGGACCCTCCCCTCTGAGCGGGGGCAGCAGCACAGGGAACCTGGCCTCCACCCTCACCCAGCTGGGCATCACCGCCGCCAACGCAGCGGGAGGAAACGGCAGCTATCACCACCCATCGCCAGGTCCGCCCCCTGCTGGCTGAGTATTGATCAAACTGATGCTTTAAATGTTTGAGTTGGAGAAGCAGCGTTTCCTGAACAGCGTTTATCCTTTAAACCTGTTAGGGTCCCCATGAGGGACCCTACATATACACGGCGTGCTGCAGTTTTCCAATTTATTCCTCATATAAATATATTCACTTAATTCCTCACACATTACAAACACATTACAACTCGTACATTTAAATTATGGGTCTAATTTATTTATTTATTTTTTTCCTTTTTTGGATAAAATCGACCCTAAAAATGCAAAAACATGCAGATCTACAGTGGAAAAACCAAACCACAAAAGTTTGAGTCCTGGAGGCCCCAAAAAACTCTACTTACATGTATTGTTAATACAACTATTCCTTATTTCTGCCTATTAATTATGTTTTTAATAAATATTCTTTGGCTAAAATTCCATCAGAACGCTGATAATATTAAGTGTGTCTCAGCCCCCCCCTTCAGTGTCCACCATATTGGATCAGTCCATTTGCTGCACATGTTCAGAAAGGTCCAAACAGACAGCAGCAAACCATTTGAAAACAAACCATGCAAAGAGCAGTGTTGCCAACTTAGCGCTTTAGTCGCTATATTTAGCCACTTTTCAGACCCCTCTAGCACTTTGATTTCTAAAAAGCTCCTAGCGCCAAATCTAGAGACTTTTTTCTGCTACTGGAGACTTTGGAGACAACATCTAAAAGCAGCGAACTCTGCTCTCCAGAGCGAGTAGATTGGTAACCCCGCCTCCTGCTCTCCTCTATCTTGTCTGCTGTCATGATTCATGCAGCTATTATTTCATCCAAATGAAAAATGGAGAACAGATAAGCAGATCATGGCTTGTCTACAGTGAAAAGAAGGACTGGGTTATTTACTTTGGCCTTTTTGGAAACACAGGAAGGAGCAATCAGCTAAGTGAGCTTAGTGCTTGGAAAAAATCTTTCATTCCTTTAGAGACAGCATGAAAAGTCAGCTGAGTACAAAACATAGAGAGGAAAACAAGAAGAAAAGGGACAAGAAGAGAGGGACACAACCTAGAACAGATAATGGATGTCTATTCTATTAACATTTCTCTATCTAGAGAATGGGGCTGTTTTATGCCTGTCTTTGCCTAGGGCCCCAAATTTCCTAAATCCACCCCTGCCTGAAAGTCCAGGTCTCCTCGACTCCATTTTGTTTTGTCTCCTCCTCGGTCAGTCCGCTCAGATCAACCTGAGAGTTTAGGAGAAATATTTTAAATTGCATCGAGTCGCTGACCTGCAGCGGTTTGCATGAACCTAAAAGTGTTCATACCTGACGGCTCCACGTTATAAATTAATTTCTGACAGGAAATGAGCTTAAATCTCTAAAAAAAAAGACAAAAAAGAGAAGGAAGTTGAATCTTAAATGGGTTTTTATTTATTTGTATTCATATTTGAATAAAGATATAAGATAAAGCAAACTTTTATCAGCAGGTCCAAAGCAGACCCAGACCTGCCTGAGTGAGAATGATTAGCTGAGCCGTTTGTTCTGGAGATGTTTGTGCCATCGTGTTCTCAGAGGAAACGATCTGACCTGTTGGATCAGAAGCTCCTCTGATGGCGGCGTGGTTCACAGACCGGAACCACGACGCTTCCATCTTTGTTTCTGAGGTCGTAGCAGAGCCAAAGTCAAACTGAGTGACTCATCAGAGGGTTCAGCAGAGAAAGCATGTGACGTGAAGCAGAGGGGAGTGTTTGGGGTGAATCTCTAAATTTAACCTTAGAGTTCTTTTAGTCGGAAAATGTTGGCGTTTTTCGTTTGCCTGTGAGGCGACTGCACGAACCACAGACAGGAAGCCGTTCTGAGCTCAGCCTCAACAGATCTGAACCCAGATCTGATTTTTGTTTTCTTTAGAACAGCCTGTCTGCTCGGTCGATAAAGGTGTTAAAAGGAAGTAAAGAAAATCAGCAAAAAGTGACCTGATTAATTATTTTTTAATGCCTCCCAACTCTACGACTTATTTTCCTCCCATTTGTGTTAAAGCCCTGAAAAAAAAAATAAACGAATGAACATTTGATCATTTTAACGTGTTAGAAGGACCTCAGACAGCCGTGGCATCGAGTGGTCAGGCTGAACGGCGTGCAGGCGTGTCCGTGTGTGGACTCGGCACAGACTCTGCCGTACATAAAGGATTGTGTTGTTTCAAAAGGCGTTTAAAGAAAAGGATCCAGTTTAATGTCGGTGCAGGAATCTGTTTCCGCTGTCCCAGGGTTCCCACAGGTCCTTGAAAAGTCTTAAAAGGCATTGAATTCTTCAAAATAAAACTAAGGCCTTAATTGGTATTAAAATGTCTTAAAACAGTCTTTCATAGGTCTTAATTTTTAAAACTTCATAAATAGGATTATTTTTATTACGATTTATTTTTGTAATCTAAATAAAACATTCAAATAGACTTTTTTTTTATTTATTTAAAAAAAAATAACGGCTCGGCATTATTGGTTCCATCCCGATAGCGGAACCAATAAAAGCGTTGGTGCGGCGGGGACATTTGGGAGATGCACCATTAACTTTTCGTCTGGAAATTAAGTGTAAATGGAACCAAAATTGGCTCCAGCCAAGAGTTTTCTCTTGGGATGCACGATATAATCGGCCCCCTATCGGTATCAGCCTTAAAACTGAATATCGGACATCGGCCACCCCACCGATATTTAACCCGATATTTGATCAGCTTCTGAGTTTCTAAAAAACTCAGAAGCCTAGTCTAAAAAAAAAAGTCTAAAAA